GTGCCGAGGCGGCGCAGAACCTAGGCCCGACAAAGGGGGGAGGAATAGAAAAAGGGGGGGAGGACCCTGACCGAGGCGGTGCCCCCCCCCCCCTGCCTGGGCCGCCGCTGAGGGGACCCGAAGTCATCCTTCAGTGGTGGCCCTGGCAGGGGAGCCATCGCCTCGGTGAGGCTCCTGCGGGGGGGCCTCATGACACGAAGCCTCGAACGAGGATGGGGGTGTCGCCTCCGCCAGGCGGCTAACCCCACCCTCGATCAAAAGTGGGGCGCTGCGGCCGAAACTCGCACGAGTGGTGGGGTCCACGTCCCGCCGCAGCATCTCCAGAGACTTACCTGTAGCGTCATTTCGGAGCCTCCCAAAACACACTTCAGCCAACAAATGCATTCGGTGCCTGGCATAGCTGCCGCGCCTGGAACACCAAATGATCGGGAGGGCAGCGCCAGGATCACCTCCCCACAGCCGATGCGAGCGGTGAGCCTGGCGACAAATCCTGGGCGAAACAGAACACTTGAAACTGGCCAGGTGAGTCCATCTCCGCCCTCGGTCGAGACAAATCGCACGCAGCCACCCCTTCCCTCGCCGCCCCAAGACGTGCCCATTGGGGTCGGGGCAGAGGGTGAGCTGGGCCCCTGGGGGGCGGGGCTTCTTGGCCACAGCCTTTGAAGCATCGCGAAACTTGGGCCTGTCAGCGACCTCGAGCATGGCTCCTGTGAAGCGGCCAAGAACCTGCAGGCGCTGCCTTTGCTCAACGAACTGGTCGCGGAGGGCCACTGGAATGGGAATGTCGCTGGCTGCTCTCTGGGCAGCAAGACCCGCAACGCGGTTCGCTTTCCAAGCCCAAAACGGCACACCCACGGAAAGAGGTCTTATGGGCGGGAACATGGAAAACCCGAAACGAATCGCCACGGCCCCTCCGCCTGAAGTTAATTTCTTCCCAAAGCTCCGCGAAGGGCAGGTTAGGGGCATCAGCTTCCGCCCCTCGGTCCCAGGTCAAGGCAGCGGACAGGGAATCGCAACCAAGCTCCACATCGCCTGGGCCCGGGAGGCGGAGAGCCATGCGGATGGCGAACACCTCAGCGCCAGAAGTTGAATGCAGCGCGCGCGGGAGAGGACCACTGGCCGAGCCTAGAACATTCCCCCCTCCGTCCAGCACCACAACCGCCCAGGCAGCGACCGTGAAGAGAGGGAGGTCAGGCAAAAGAGCAGACCCATCGGAACAGACGCGGCCTGACACTTCGCCTCCTGGTGCGCAGACGTCCCACCTCCAGGCACCTGTGATCTGGAGGCGAGGGGTGAACCTGATGGGGGCAGGGAGGAGACAGCGGGAGAGGCAAGGATCCTCATCCCCCACATCCCTCCAACCCCGCAACTCCTCATCAAAACCGAGCTTGCCGCGCCGCGGCCCTCGTGCATCCCATCACAGACGAAGAGGCGGTGCTGTGAGGTCCCGCGGGCTCCAAGACACAGCTGGCACCTCTGGTCGGTAACCCGACGGTCTTGATGCAGAACAGACTGGGTGGCAAGGCCTCCTGCAACGTGTGTGGCAAGGAGGCTGGCCTGGGGACGGCCCCCTCTGCGGCGCAAAGAAGCGCACGCCTCACTAACTGCATCGAGCTGAGGATGAGAGAACTCGTGGCCCTGACGGCTCCACCGCAACTGCTCAGACAACTGACCTTTGGTGCCGCGGCCGACGGAAGTCTGCACAGAAACCTCGCGGACCTTCTCGAGGTCTAAAGACAGGCCCGAGGGAAGAGACCAGACGCAAAAGCTCTGGGGGACCCACCCGAGCCTCCGAAGCGTCATGATCACAGCTCCCGTAAGTCCCTTCACCGCAGGCCACGTGAATTCATTTGCGCGGAAGCGCTCCAAAAGTAAATCGAACGTTGAGCGCATCGCCTCCCTAGACGCCCATCCCTGCCAAAAAGGTTTCCCCCATGCGAGGAGCGGCAGGGAGTTGCCCACAAAGGCTGGGTCGGCTTCGGGCGCAGGCGAAAGCCAGAACTGGATAGTTCGAGAGCGGCCCCTAGCAGGTCCAAAGAGCCCCTGGGCGACCGCGCACCTAAGCCTCGAGAGGAGCCTGTTAGAGATCCCAACCACGCTGACCCCATACGAGCCTGCTGGGAGGGCGCCCACTTTGGAGATCATAGTGAGCCTGCGAAACTGACTCTTCAGAGGCCTAAAGCGACCCGCGCGGGCCCTCACCTTACATGCGCGGCCGGCCTGGACCTGAACCCGACGACGGTCCCCTTGCGTGTAGTCAGTACCCAGGTTTTTTTCACATGATGCGAGGACCGAAATTGCAACGTTTTTCAGCCTGCAACAATCTTGTCGGCGATGTCCGACGTGGTGGCTGTCACGCGGCCCTTGGTCGTGGAGATGATGAGCCTACGGGCCTCGA